CTCCTCCTGATGTCCCGCCTTCCACTCCCCATAGGATGCGCCATGGCTCATGTGCTCAGTCAGAGCAGGTAACATCAGTGCTGTATGTAACAAACGGTACCAAGGAGACCCTTATTAGAAATGATATAGCATAGCTAGGAGCCAGGCAAGCTATGGTTCATATCTCATTGTCAGCTTTCTTTGCTGTCAACTCTCTGATTGGCCTTAGTCGTGGGGTGGGCTACTGCAGCACAGCTAGTGTTGATGGACTGCCGCTCCTGGAGTTCCTCCCCATTACTTGTGCTGCACAGAGCTGGTGGGAGCTCTGTGCCGCCCAAGTATTGCACATATAACATTTGATGGGCTATGATTTGCCTGCCCTTGCCTTAGGCAAACTGTAGTCTTAGCTATGCCTTCCACTTCAAACATGGTCTTAATTAATATTATTTGAACACCTCACCAGACTGCAAAATGATAATGTGCATAAAGCTCTTTGAAGGCTATATAAATGCTAGGTGGTAATAAGTGGCAGTGGAAATAATAGCAATCCAGGTGGCAGACAGTCGAGAGAGAAAAGATTGCTGTGATCATTTTATAACTGCTAGAGAACTAAATGGTGAACTAAGAGCATAGAGTGCTACATAATTCTAGAATAGGTGAACTAGCATGTCCCTGTGCTCTATTCTATTATTGTCATTTTAACAGGAAGTAGTCACCAACTGACCTTTCCCTGTGATAGGTAAAGGTCAGCTTTGCGCAATTCCCACCCACCCCTCCTCGAAGCAGCTTACTTTTCAAAAGTAGGTCACCTACAGATGCAAGAATGTTGCCCCTGGTTACAGGAAGGAAGCCTTAATTTAGAATCTCATTTTCATGCACGGAAACCTTTACCTGTATTAATATATTGATTTACATCATAGTTGGATATTTATTTATTATTTTTAATTTTAAAAATGGTGTTCCCAAGTGAACCTAAGCAAGGCAGCAAAATACTCTGTGGAGTTGTTGTTGTTGTTCTAAACCAACTCCTACCTCCTCCACTTACTTAAGAAAACAATGAACTGCATCAGGACACAGAGCTTTGGGTGATAAAAGTTGGATGAAAAGGAGTCTGATCATTTTGTCCTCCTTGCTGATGAGGGAAACATTCAAACGAAATCCCTCGGGATTGCAGGAAAAGCATGATGTGTGGAGATAAATATAAAGCAGTTTCTGTGAGGTTTTTAATCACTGTTTTTTAAAAAAAAACACCTTGCGAAGTCCTAGAATATTTTTCTGTTCACTGCTCTCCTGGGGTTTTCTGCTCCTTTGAAACCTGAAATTAAAAATAAAATAAAAAGCAGGAGAAAAAAACAACAACCCTGAGTAGTGTTGTGGCTCATTAAAAGGCTCACACTTCCTAAGCTGACATCAGTTGTTTCCCCTTCATATGAAGGAGACTGGGTGTATGCACCACAGCAGTTTTCTTTACTTGATGTTCCATCTTTCAGAACTCCCAGATCAAATGTGAAGATGGTCCTTCCCATGACTAGCAGGTTGGCGATTCTTTCTGAAGCGAAGTCATCTTTTGTTGGAGACAAGTCAGTTCTAACCCACTGTCCCGTGCTCACATGTGTCATTTTACTGTTTGTTAACCACCCAAATAGAGCCCTATACTAATCGATGAAATAAATAAAACACCACAGGGCCTTAAAAGAGAGCTTGTGTGCCATATATTGACAGCTGAGACAGCTTAAATATTGAGTATTATGACAATTCTAAGGTTTGGAAAAATTCCCGCTACCATTAATAATACACACTGAATTTGAGGGTCCATTAATCTGATCTAGAGCCAAGTAAGAGAATAGAGTTAGCCTTAGAAGCATTAGAAGCAGAAGAAAATACATTAGTTTTTAGCCACGCGATTTCTTCTGAGCAAGTAGAATGCAAACCAAATCGTAGTTGTATGCCTTCAAGTCATTTTCACTCACAGGAAGTTTCCTAGAATTTTCTAGGTATGAAGTACTCAAAACTGATCCCTCTTCTGGTGCTGCTCTGAGACCACCCAGCTTACTCAAGGTGGCATAGCTTGCAGGGGAGGTAGCCGCATACACCCCAAGTATTCTCAGCTTACCCCCCTCCTGGGACATACAGTGGGAATTGAAACTCTCAGCCCTTGAGCTGTGCTAAGGGTACCATCGGGCAGGGGGTTGTCCCACAGTCTTGCCTGTTCTAGCGATGGGCCAGTTCATTCCTTTCCCAGGTGATCACATGGCATAGGGCCATCACAAAGCAGCCCATCCATGATCTTTGCCTACCTGCATCTTTTTGTGTCCCTGTCAGAAGCTACTGTTGTTTCATTGACTGATGGTATATAATATTAATATAAAAAACAATGTGTACGTAATTTACCTTTTATTTTATACTGTTTTAACTATCTTGTAATGTTTTAATTGCTTCCTCATAATATAAATATTATATGTATGTATTTTAATGGGTCGGAGACCGTAAATAAAGATTGATTGATTGGTTGATACTGTTGTTTCAGTGTGAGTAGGATCACTTTGTTTTGGTTTGATTATAGTGTGTGTGATCGCTGGGATCAAACCAAAAGCTGGTGGCTTAAGCTGTGTCTTTGCTTAAGCTGCTTGACAATATTGGAAGATTGAAAACTTCCTTCTGTTCCCTGGTTGAGCAGAGGGGAAGCAAAGTTTTATTAAAGCCCTGAGTCAGTGCTGATGCAATATATCATTGGGGGGGGGGAGTATCACATTCCCCCCCCCTTCCACAGGAGAATAGGAGGAAGCTTTTAGTTTCCCATGTTCATGAAATGGCTTAGGAAAAACACCAAGAAGAGGACAAGGAGGGGGATTTTTGTTGTTATTTTTTTCTTTCTTTCTCTCCCCTTGTCCTTGCTCTTTAAATAGAAAGAAGGATCAAACAGGGTTGCTCGAGGCACAATGTGGTCATGCAAGGATCCACGTGAAAGGATCGCTTGCATGATACCTCTAAGTGTCACTGTTAAGCATGATCCAGCATGGTTCAGGCCAGGATAATTTGACCATCTAGGCATACTCTAAACTAGCATGTAATTCCTGATTACCAATAAAAATAAGGCAAGTTAATTTGAAATCTACAGGATATCAGAAATACTTCAGTCAGAAAGCTTTTGACATTTAAGGACTTTTAACAATGGCCTCTCTTAACATCTAGTTCAGTCTTCTGTATTTGAGACAGTTTTTCAGTGCTCTCTCGCTCACACGCAAACGCGCATGCACACATAACACAACACTGAGAGTTTCCTCTCCCAAAATCCAAGAACAGTAAGCAAGCAAACCCAGGCTCATGGTCCTTAGGCTTGATCATGTAGCCCTCCTGGCTTGTGCCAAGCTGTTTTTGGTCATAAAACTAGGCCTTCTTGCCTACTAGCTCAAACCTACTGTCTGTTGACTGACTAAATTTCATGTGGCTGCCACGCTCCTGAGTTTTGTTTTGTTTTTCCAGTGTAAAGTTTAATATATTCACAAGGTAAAGCCTTCAGATATGAAGATGTATTATTACTTTCACTGAATAAATCACACACAAATGACACATATGTCCTGACACATGTCTTGTGCAGAATCAAGTGAACATGAGGAGAAGAGTACAGGTGCCTCAGGTGAAGCTTCTTCACAGCCTTATCCTGCACCCTTATACAGCCAACCCGAAGAGGCAAAGGAAGATATGGATGTAACAAAGCAGCCCAAACCTGAAGAAAATGATGAGCTGGGACCGTTACCTGACAATTGGGAAATGGCTTATACAGAAAAGGGAGAGGTCTACTTTATTGAGTAAGTACTATCCGTTTGATCAAGACATGTGTGACAATGTGAGCTATGACATTGACAGTGCCATTCGAGGATGTTATTCTATTACTATATACTGTGCAAAATAATCAAAAGGATGACCTACGACATAACCAAATTCTGTTCTGAAATATGTATCTCAGAGGCATAGTAGACGATTAAATTACTGTGAAGTGCTGGAATGTAGACTGAGACAATCAGTAATGACTTTTTGAGTTTTCTTGTCATCCAACCTTCAGAGGAATAAGTGGGAAATTTTGCTGTAAAATTGTACCTCTTTGTTTATGAATCATTTTGGTTTACATTGTTTAAAAAACTGCTTGCTTTAGTGGGGGTGGAGAGATGTCAAAAAACTAGTTAACACTCTCCATGAACAAAGCCATAATTAGTATATCATCTTGTTAAATAATAGATGAAAAACTGATACCGTTTCCCCGAAAATAAGACCTAACCTGAAATTAAGCCCTAGTAGGATTTTTCAGGATGCTTGTAATATAAGCCCTACCCCAAAAATAAGCCCTAGTTAAGTGAAACCCCGCCCTCCACCATTGTGCAGCAAGCAGAAGATGACATGACTGTATTTGAATAAATATAGATTGTTGTACATGAAAAACATAAAACATCCCCTGAAAATAAGCCCTAATGCATTTTTGGAGCAAAAATTAATATAAGACCCTGTCTTATTTTCGGGGAAACAGAGTACTGTAATATCTAAATCAAACTAAATTGAAAAATGAATTTCCTAGTACTACATAAATCTGAAACTTTGTATATATTAAGTGGTCTTCAATTCCCATCCCAAAGGAGTGATATCTGCCCTCCTTTTATGAAATCCATTGGCAGGTTAATGTTGTCATTGGTGTAGGTATAGAAACGCCTGGCCACAGTCCTCTATTGGAACCTTAATCTTAATGAAGTAAATGAAAGACAACATCCACAACCCTCATCAGATTCCTCCAGGCTCACATCGAAAAGGGACTGATCACAAATGGGACTGGATCACTTTAATTCCAACATATCAAATCAAAATGCTTTTCATTTCAGTCATTTTGAAAGACTGCTTTTCATATTTTTTTTCCTGATAGCCAATGTATCACGTAACAAACTTGAACTCTAGATGACCTTATGTAAATTAAAATGTTGTCACTTAAAGGTGGCAAAAAGTGTTTCACTTACCAAATATGAAACTTTTGGGATGACAATTTCTAGGATATTCCAGCCGTCATGGCCACTCGTCATATCAGATACAGTATTTTGGGAGTCATTGTCCAAAAAAGGCAACTTGTCCATGTCTACTTACTTTTCTCCATTTCAGTGGACATGCCTACCAACCTTTCTGGGAAAAGAAATTCTGTGTAATAGTTTAAATAAAAGTCACAGTAAGTAGAGATGCTGCAGGATCTGTCACCAGGAAGCTGATTGGTTTCCAAAAGTGCCATTTCTTTTTTTTTTTTTAATCTCATGAGCATTTCCCCCTTAATGCACAATTTGATGCAAAACAACATTTTAGATGAATGGTATCTCCCAACTCTTGGGTTTTCCCCCCTGTTGCTTGAATGTTCCATCTCTTCTCAGTGACTTCCTCACTCATGGCTGTAATTGTTTATATGTGCAGATCTACTCATGGCCCTTTGAATAAACATTCAATTTGAACTGATACCAGTAATTCTCATAGTCTGCTCTCATGGGATATTGTACTTTATGTCTAAATAAAACTTTTTCGTCCCTTTGAAACTGAAATTATTTTTGAGAACATCATTTTGGAGAATAATGCTATCATGATGAGTTCCCAATATTCAGCTGTGACTGCTGCTGACATTTCAGTGAACAAAGTGTCCAAAGTTTCTGAGCTTTTCCATTAGATAAGAGAACAGTTCCCAACCTTAGGAACCTCCCTGAAATCCTGGCCAAACCAGCTATTGGTGAAGGCTTCTGGGAGTTTTAGTCCAAGGACATCTGGGAACCCAAGACTGGGAACGACTGGACTAGGGAGTCCTCAGCTCTGGTCATTACATGTTACAGCTTCATCACGGTAACAACCAGCCACATTATTCCAGAATCACTACTTTTTGTGCATAAAGTAACTTGTAGGGGCTCAGTGTGGTATCCTTCAGCCTCTAAGTCTCCTTATGTTTTAATGAAATACCATCATTGGTGATATATGGTATGTGTCCAGCCTTTCAGATATACCGTATTTTTCGCACTATAAGACGCACTTTTTTCCACAAAACAGGGGGGTGGAAAGTCTGTGCATCTTATGGAGCGAAGAAAACAGATTATTTTTTCCTGTTTTCTTCTCCTAAAAATTTGGTGCGTCTTATGGAGAGGTGCGTCTTATGGAGCGAAAAATATGGTAGTTATTTATATAGTACTGGCCAAACAAAGATTTGGGTCAGCAGAAATTCCTTTCCTGGTGTTTGGGATAAAGCATCCTTGAGACCTCAAAGAGTCAGTTGTAGATAAGCATACCACAAAGTCCCAACAAAACAATCTAGCATTTGCATTATGATGAAATGGTCATGCTGAGGTCCTAAACTATGTCAGATTTAAGCCCTAAAGCATTACCTGTAAAATGTATGGTATGGTATGGTATGGTGTGGTGTGGTGTGGTGTGGTGTGGTGTGGTGTGGTGTGGTGGTGTTGTACATCATCTCATATTTAAAGGGCCTGAGCTCTAGTTTGTGATTAGCTTGTGCATAATACATCTGGTACTGATGAACAAGAGAGAAACAGTGACAGCTGAATTTTATCAAACAGATTATGGATTGGATTAGATTAGTATTTGATTGGATTAGGACTGGCAGATATCAGGTCTAGCTTCTCTGGTTCTCTGGGTAGGGGGACCAATCTCAAGGCAGGCAGTGGTGGAAAAGATGAATGTCATATTTGTGTTTGAGAGATGACTCAAAACTCTGGGTACATATCTCCACCCATTTACAGCTGCTGCCAGGTCTCACTGGGCTCAGCATGAATCTGCTTATATGTGTGTGCATTTGTGCAACCTCATTATGCCAGAAAGGCAGGAGGGAAGAACAAAACGTGCGGAAATGTACCATTGCAGCCCTTGAGATTCTTCTGCTCTCAGAAGCAAGACAGGGAGTAGAGTGCCAGTGCTGCAGTTAATGAACCTTTGTGTTGTGAATTGCACAGGATGCAGTGGTGTGGGACATAGAAGATAACTCCACATAGACTGGCAGTGAACCTTACGCAGGCACCAGCGAGAGCACACAATCTGGTAAAGGTGCTTCAGAAAGGCAGCCTGGGACCGAAATCCTAGCTAGAATGGCAGCAACCGCTATGCCGACTGAACTCCCAATTTTGGGCCCATTAATCTGCATTCCCCTTCTGCCCTTTCCATAATCAGTGAGCTCAGAATTAATTAAGAGCCCACCTTGTGATGTCACCGGGACTCACTCTCTGGTCTCAGACGTTGGCCTTGAAATCTCAGGGGAAGAGGTACTGCTCACCTGGTTACCCTAGAATGGATCTGAAATCCATCAATAAAAGGCCATTGCAAGCCTAGAGAGACTGAAGGTCCCCAATGCTCCCTCCCATTATTTTGTAATCTTTGTTGGGTTTTAGTCCAGGGCAGAGCTCTCTCACACCTTCTAACTTTTTATATATCATGTTTACTTGGTTATGTGGCTTGGGTCTCTTTATCTACCCATTGCCCCTGGAGATGCCTCCATTTTTATTGCTCTGGTTGCTCAGATAAATTGTCTGTGGGTCTCCCCATCAGGAACTCCCTGTATGGTTTGGGGACATTCATATCATGTAGGACTTCAGTGAGAGATGGCAATGTGTGCAAACTGTAAGGGAAAGTCAAGACCAGGTAGAGAGATGAGCAGTCATGGATGCCACTTGAACTTACCAAAGGAGAGATGGGATATAAATGTTAACAAACAGATCAATGAATTTCCATTTCTTTTTGAAGGACATGCTAACAATGTTTGAGATTTAAATAAAGAGTACTTGCACACTGTATCATCTATGTTGTAACCCTGTGCACATATACCTGAAAGTAACTCCCACTGAACAACAGGGCTTATTGTTGCTTAACAAGGCAAAGGATTATTGTATGTGATAAAATGGGACTGGTGTTCCCTAACAGTTTTTTTGTTTTGCAAAGCAAATATTTACACAGCAGGCATAAACTGGTTATGAAGGAGTTCCCTTTTCCTAATGAACTTTAATGTTGTAGCTGGAAATGAGGAGCTAACCGTTCTTGAAAAATAGTTTTTGTTGGTGTTAGCAAACTGCAGTTCTTTCAGGATTTCAGGACATGGTGGCAGTTAAACTGCCAACTGTGTGTGGAGTGTAGCTATAATCTTTTCTTTGGCTTCTGTGATTGCAGTCTTGAGAAAACTGTTCTTGACTTCAGGCTAATTATTGCCATTTCTTGCATGTACCTCATTGCTGCAGAGATGATAGTCTTTTGAAATGTAATTAGTGAATTTAATATTCAAGTTCTTGGAGATGATATTGAGCTTTTCCAAATGTTTTTCTAGTGATGAGGTCAGCTGAATTCTTGGCCGATGAACAGTAGCCAGCCAGAAAATAAAAAGTTAATGGCACTGAAATAATCATCTCCTGTTGGATTCTCTTCTTATATCCTTCCAGTCTTTCTTCTCTGCCAGTGATAATTTGCCTTCAATGAAGGCCTTGAATGGATCGCCTTGAATGAGTGTATTAGTGGCACCAATGCCTTGAATGACTTGGGGAGCAGAAGATGACATTCAGGAAATAATTCTTAGCTTTCCTATTCCAGGACTTGAGTGCAATTGAAGTTTCGGGAATAGTAAAGATTACATTTGAAAAGCACAGTCTGGAAGTAGAAAGTAAATGGGTGCTTTAGGGGATAAGACCAGTGGAAGGCTGGATGGCTGTAATTGCACAAACAACAAAGTTTAAGTTTGCCCTTTTTCATCTAAGGGCAGAAAAATTATAAAGCATTGTGGATTTACAAAGACAGAAAATATTTGGAA